GATGGACACCCCTTTCAGTGTGAAAGTGGGCCTCAGCTTTTGACCTTTGCATGTATAAGGACGATTGAGGTCGCGACCACTGATCTGACCTTTCACACAGAGGGGTGTCGATAAATTCTTTCTTTGAAACTGTTCAGATGTGAACCACATGTGCCGTCAATCAACGTCTCATTATCGTGCCTGGTGGGACCCGCTGGGGGGATACTTTAGTACGCGTTCACAGGACACGTAATCGGCACTTCCTGGTTAGCCAATGGGTCAGGGGTCAACGTACTGTTGCGCAACCTTTGTGTTGGTTGTTTTCGGCGTATATTACTTCTAACTTACAAATACCGCGGATTCAGACCTTTACTTCCCCAATTTATACGAAGAATCGGCGGAAAATGGAGGAAGTGACAATAAGGATGACTTGCACATGCGGGGAGGTACTTCAGCAGTTATTTTTAACGTCTGATTCCATTTAACGGCTCCGGTTGTCATTCTGAGTTTCATTACGAGTTCCTTGTGGCATAAGTTCGTGGCGGCCCGTTCGTGGGTACATGTTATAGGCTGCAGATGAAAATACTGACCTGTGTTAACACAACCAGGAAGGTTAAATCTAACACATAAAATTCAACACCATCAACTACATGTATATAACAAACAACATATAAAAGTATACAATAAAAAGCTCAGATTTTACTATTCGCACGCGCGCATCAGTTTTGGGGTTCCCAGAGGATGTCATCCATATAATCAAATCAACATGGCCTTACTTTAATACATGTTAGAAGGGTAACACGCGCACCGGACGATTGGCGGCTGGCGCCCGGAGCGGGTGTTTGTTTACATTATCGCTGGTCGCTGAGGGTCGGGCAGCCAGATTCGCCACGGGATGCCCCCTGTCCTTTCTATTTTTGGGCTCTAGTCGGCTAGGGGGATTAGTGATTTCACAGATCATTTAGCCAATTACAAACATTTCGAAACTTTTCGAAAAAATGGTATTCGCGCGAATTCACTAATTTAAAGAACAGTCCCAACATGCACCCAACATTCTGCAACACACATTTCAATACCCGGAGGTACAAAATCTACGATTTTCCTTGTTTAAATCTTATAACATTTAACATTAGTTCAACCATGTCACTGCAACGATGAACAGTAGACCTGAAGGAAGTTTCTTTGTGAGAACAAGCTACTAATATACATTATGTACTGTACATTCAAACAATCTATACAACATTAAATCTGGGAAGAATTTGTCATCCCCTATAACAATTGTGCACTAACTAATTTGGCAACGGCCCTGTTTTTGAACAGAAACTGTCCTTAAGTCTGTCCCATGACAGTTATTTGCTGCAGCATTTGACACTGAACCCATTTGAGCCTGGAACAAAATCCTGCAGCAGTTCACTTCTACTCATCTGGAGATCAGCAACATGGGGAATATCTGTGGAACAACCAAAATATAATAACAAAAGTTAAGTAAATTTGTTATGCCTCTACCAGTATAATAAAAACAAGGAGAAACTGTCCATACTTTCCCGTCTTTCTGACTTGTTTAGATACAAATACACTACAAACATTCTAGACATGTACATTAAAAGTACATCATGTGTGTACACATTGTTCATTTTTGAAATTTCTAATACAGACATGGTACATGAATTACATATTCCACATATCAACCAGTAAAGGATTCAATAACAATGTCAGAACTGAAGTCTAGGACATGGCCTGTGCAACTGACCATCCAGCCTGCTGTGTAAAAAGCGGTGTGGAGCCCTGCAGGAGTCACATGGATCAGGGCGTGCTTCGGTACTGGGCTCTGGCACTGGCAAACAGCAAAGACTATCTGACCTAGAAGGAACAATCAAACAAGCTTGCTTATAAGCTGGTGGAAATAGAAATGTACACTATTTAAGACACATTTTGGCTTGAGAGATGTCACAATTTACTTTCTTGTTGTGGTAGAGTACAGCAAGATGGGTCCCACAAATGTTCTTACTTGTTGTTCCCTTGCTTGAACTGTGCTTCAGTTTGTGCTTCAGTTACTTCTTCATTTGAAGTTCTTTCATCAGAGCAGTCAGTGGGTTGCAGGATGCCCTCCCTGTGATCCTGGCTTCTCTTGGCTTGTAAAATGGTGCTTGATGAAGTACCAGTAACAGCAGTGACATACTCTACATGAAAGAAGTTTTGAGGATTTCAGACTCATTGTCAGTTTAATAATGTGAAAAAAAAAAAATTCAAAGCTCAAAAAGGGAAAGAACCTTTGCGTGTAACTTGAAAACATTGAAGCAGATAATTTGAACTACCTGAACTACCAGCTGCCAGAGGCTTCTCACTATCTGCAAGGCTAACCACGTCTCCCTTTTCTCCAACATTGTTCCCTCCTTCAGTTACAGAAGCTTCCTTTATGTCTTCCTTATAGATAAATCATGTTGTTTTTTTATGCAAATCTCTGGCTTCTTGTGAGTGGGAATGCAGTGCCAATCTTACATTGTGCCACTAATCTGTACAAACTAACAAGACTGGAATTACTTCCTTCAAAAGTATCATTTGGAAGGATAAAATTCGCATATTAGTCAAAACTGACAGCCTGCAAGTTCCATGTGATCTCCAACAATTCACAGAATGATGTGCAAGAACCATGAACTACATGTATCTGCCTTGTGATTTGATAAATGCTGGTCTCACAGTTTCTTTTCTGCTTGGTGGAAGGATTTCTTTGCATCTGGTATTTTTCATCCATGCTAGTGTGCCTCTCCTGTCTAGCTCTGAAATGAATACTAGTATCAAGAACGTACTGTGTACATAAACAGTTTACAAAAACATCTATCAAATGTGAAAGTCTGAAAGTTTATATGTACCCGGTACTACAAGAATATCCTGTCCACCTGTTGTCTTAATATAGGAAAGTAGAAAGCATCACAAAACTGGCTACAATATCTTGCACTAAACTTTTGAAGAATACTAGACAGTATACTCCTTCCAATCCTAAGAAAATATGGTTGTAGGGAAAAATAGAAAAGACACTTCTCAGAGTACACTTACCAGGGTGCAGCTGTGGTGGAGGTAGTACATACATGCCTATAGGCACCACACTCATATCTCCTTGTTGCACAGAGGCATCAACAAAGTCAGCATGGAACATGGACAACCTTTCATCAAGGTAAAGGCTACTCTGGAAGAATCTGAAAATTTTATGCAGAAATCAACATAAATTTCTACATCCTGATAAATTTTGAAAGAGAAACAGGCCCTTACAAGGTTTGAAGTGAAATACAATTTTGCATGTCTTGTCTACATCATAATTATTTATCCTATGAACCTAAGCTACCGCTAACCCCTCGCTGACATCACAATCAAAGGTCAGATTTTCTGTAATCAGGACCAAGGGCTAACTGAAAATTTGGTAAATCCACCCATGTTATGTTGGAAAATCTCATCCTTCTCAATGTTATGTATGTATCAACACAGTTATATGGACATGAAGATAAGACCTATAACTGTGCTGATACATACATAACATTGAGAAGGATGAGTATAAGTGGATTTCGAATTGAAAACCCAAGCCAACCTGGATAGAACCTGAATCTATTCGTATCAAGGTATGAAAGAAATATTTTCAGCTCACTCTTTTGTGTCTGGACAGCCAGCCTCCATACTGAAGAGAAACTTGGCACAGCTCTGGTCTGCGAGTGTTCCTCCCTGTTGTACTGAGGGAAATAATATGGGGGTCTTATAAATATAATAATCCACAATCTTATAAATATAATAATATAAATATCAATTGGTTTTATCTAAATGCAGAAATTCAGCATCTGTATGTTTCAAGGACTGAAAATAAAATCTTACAAGCCATTCCCATAATGAATCCAGCCTACTTTGGTCTACACATATGAATCGGAAGCATGAATATGAAAATGCAAAATGTTGAAAAATTGGGCCGTGGGGCGAGATGACTTACAGGAAGGGGGAGGAGTGGTGGGGGGAGTCCCGGGGAGACGAGTTTAGGGAGGGGGAAGAGTGGTGGGGGAGATGACTTTAGGGAGAGGGAAGAGCGATGGGGGGAGACAAGTTTATATAATAGGAAGGGGGAATAATGGACATGCAGCCAGTCTCTCATCTCACAGTAAACTGCTGATTTTATGGTCTAGATAGCAGAATATATATACTTACACCATGCTCTTACTGTTTCTTCATGGACACTCCTTGAAAACCATGCTGTGAAGTTAGTAAAGACGCCACGTCTGGACATGTATTAAAAGACAATGGTCATCTTTTGTAAGTACATGTATGATACAGATCTGGATCCAGTCAGGAAATGCTATACTATGTATGTATGTAACTGTTATGTACGTGACCGACTCTGACCAGCACGTCGGCAATAAAAATAAATGTGGTCTTTTTAGAAAATAACACTGGCTCTTGAGTTGACCCGTTGTGAACCTAGTAACGTGGCAAAAATAAATCTCGATCGTCCCAGTAACATTCAGGTCATACTGAAATCATTTTAGAAGCCGGTATCTAACAGTCTCCTTGATATAACCCAAGGAGGTTCTTCCTACCTCCTTGATATAACCTTACCTTTGCATATTGACCGCGTAGCGGACGGTATATGTTACCAAACGTGGTCTAATATTTCCCTTGTTCTAGAATAATGGTCAAGAGGTAGTTTAGTGTGGTACTTGGCAAGGAAACCTCTGAGGTAGGGCCAGATAATTTTAACGTGACATTACTAGTTACATTTGAACTTCCCGCATTTTCTCAACATGGACGGTAGTCTGGTTGTTATTGAATGTTTTCTTGTAAAGCGAATCACAGAATAGCTGTATTCCACTGAAACCAATCAAATAGGCGGATTCCTTGCTTTCTACCAATCAGCTTACAGCAGAAGCGATCGACAGATTACCGTTGTTAGAACGTTCCCAGAAACCTTTGTGGTCCTGACGGAAAAATATGGAGGCAGGCAGGACGATGCCGCCTTTCGGGAACTTGTAGTTATAGCAGCGTCAACTAAAGCTGCGGAGACCTACCCTTGCTAAGAACGGCAGAGGGAGTTACATATGTGAGTATCACAATCTACATGTCCTCAGTTTTACCTAGTGAAAGCAGAATATAGGGAAGAAGTTTATGTCGCGACGCCGGGCCCGCCATCTTGAGTTCATTGTTTTTCCTGCAGTGCGTGGTGCGCAGATGTGCGGCGTGGCGCCCAGACATCTGTCACGCCAAACTTTGCTTTCTTGCGAACGTTGTTGTACAACAAAAGCCATGCAGTGTAGGGAAGCCCCGACTGACCTGTAGCTGCTTACTAGTTCCGAAGAACCACATGCATGTATCTCGCAGTCGCACCGGTCACGATGCCCCATCTATTCAAATAAATATTTGTAAGTTTTCGAGTGCAGTTCATTCTTTGAGATACAAAGTAAAAATAATATTTTCTTAAGACAATTGTGTTGAATTGACCGTGGAAAACAATCATAGTACATCACACATGTCACAGTGATGAAAAATTGAGACAAACGGAACTTGAGGCGGTGAGGAACTTGAGTAGCCCATGCCACAACTACACCAGGGATCTAGAAGTGCCAGAACCAGTGGAGACTTTACTGTAGCACAGCCCAAAATTTTGGTTTCCTGTCGATTATACGTCGGTCGATTAGTCTTTTTAACGACTATTCACTTTGAACAAGCCTGCATTTTATTCGGAAATGTGGCCACTCTCATTTCAGAATACCGAGTTCCAACCTCCAGCGATGTGCAAGTTGACAACTACTTATCAAAAAACACAAAATTACATGAAATTAACTTAACTAAAATATCTAATCAATATGCAATCCTGACCATTTACTGTAAATTCATGTAATGCAGGGATTAATTTTATGTTAAGAGAGGGAAGGAGACTTTCCCAACATTTTAAGTTTGTGATTGAAGCAACTTAAGTTAAGTCACAGTGGCTCACCCATAAGACAAGAAAATGTTTGCAGTGTGATTATATCCCTGCAAAAGAACACAAAACTAGCACCAAAGTTCATGATTTGAATATTTAGCAAAAATCCAGCAATGACCTGCCTACTGAACAACTAATAAAGTTACTAAGAATTATTTAGATACAAGTCCTGTTACAGTGCTGAACAACCGTACAATTTTTTCCTAATTAGGGGCTTTAGTCTTCGCTGGTATGGCTGGTGTGTCACTTGGCTGCGCCAGTTACAATGGATTATACAAGCCTACATACAGTCTTGTCAAGTCAGGAATTTCTTGTGCAACATGTGCCCATTGTGGATTCCTTCCTACTGCTGTCTATGTCTGTTAGTATTACATGATGTGGCAGCTTCTTCCTGGCCCCCCAAAACAACTGTCTCTCAAACCAAGGCATTTAATGCAGTACTGTACTAGTATGTAATAATAGAATACATCTGGCTACATTCTGACTGTGTAAATCTGACATGATATGTATAGATAATTCTTGTCCTGTATGTCCAAACTAATTCATCCCCTTGAAGTTAAACTTACTTTGTTTGTGAACTCGTTCCTCAGCTTGAATTGGAGAAGCAATCAGTGTATGGAGCGCAAACGAATGGACTGTCCAGCATTGCCGAAGGGGTGGAAGAGGGAGGAGGTGACGAGGAAGTCCGGGTTGTCAGCAGGAAAGTCTGATGTATATTATTACAGGTATGGAGGTAATACCTCACGAAATCTTGAAACTGGCTCAGTGTCACTTTATTTTATTATGTTCGTGAAAATGAAGGTGTTGTTTTGAGTGTGTTTTGGCTGTATGTGTGTTTTCTTGTGTGATCGTACAGTTGAGTAACAGCATGTTGGTGGGAGGAATACTTAACTACACACCACAAAAGGTCAGACACAGGAGGTTAGGTCCCAAAAGCTTCTGGCCAGAAGGAAGTTGGTGGTGAGTCTGTTGGACAGATGCCATTGGCAAAATAGAGAGATAGAAATTCACAACAATCAATGAAACAAGAAATTCACAAAACTTTATAAATATTTCACGGAGGAGGTACAAAATCTGCCATCTGTTGTTTTGATTATGGAAATGGCACATTTGTTGTACTTGTACTTGTAGATAGGAAGCTCCTGTGCTGGAAAGTACTGAGAAAAAACAAAAAAAAATCCTCATTAGTCTCCTTCCACTTAAATGTCCATAGGTAGATCGTAGTTGGAAAATATTTGATGTCTAATAACAAAGAATTTTTTTTTATTTTTCAGTCCGAGTGGTAAAAAGTTCCGAAGCAAGCCTCAACTTGCAAGATACTTGGGAGACACATTTGACTTGAGTTGCTTCGACTTTCGGACGGGAAAAATGTTGTCTTCAAAAGTCAACAAGAACAAGAAAGTTGCAACAAGAGCTCTGGACTCCAACAAAGTAAGATGGCTCTGATATGCTCATTTAATTGGAAATTATTTGCAGCACACCAGCCACTGTCGCCCAGAAAATTCTGGTGAAGGCTTCAATTTCAAGTCAATTTGGTCAAGACTCAATCCAAAATATGATTTTGGCCATTTTAAATTTAAATTGGAATAGTTTTGTTTAGCTAGAGTAGCCACAGTATTACCCCTGTAAGATGTTAGATGTAAGATTCCCCTTTATCTCACCTGTACAGAAGTATGATGCCAGCTTGGTGCTGCCCATCAGACAGACAGCTTCCATATTTAAACAGCCGGTCACACATGTGCGCAGTAAGGCCAACAAGGGCAGCGAGACCAGAAACGATCCCAAAAGTGCAAATCAGGAGCAACCCAAACAGGTCAGTGTTCCAGGAATGATTTTAAATCTTACTTGGATCTCTGTCATTCCTGCATTTTACAGGGTATAACAAACCACGAGACGGTTGTATATTGGCTTGTATTGAACATTGTGTTGTATAAAGCTTAATGTTGAGTTTATTTTCATGGATGTGTAAATATAAAAGATTAAGAACAGCTCATCCTGTAAGCTTGTTTCTGGTCATGTAAAATATTAAACAGAGAAAAACAATACTGCCATTGATTCTTTTTTGTTGACATAAGTAATTTTAAAGATGATTCACAGAGGCAAAAACAGATGTTTGTGTACCTTGACTGTATAGCCTGTTGTTGCAGCAACATTGAAACTGAAATTGTAATTGGATGATATAGTTAAATATTTTCTTGGAAATCCATCATAAATCACATCACATAATGTGATGTGATGTGATATGATGGCTTGCCAAGAAAATATTTGTCATATGTTACATGTAAAAAGAGATGTATGTTCTTGATGTATCACCCCTGCCCTCTGGCTCCAAGTAGCCACTCCTTCCAAAAGAAGACCAGTTATAACATGTGCATTTTGAATGACTGGTCTCACACCAGAAAGAACTAGTAGTCCCTATATAGTTACATTAGCCTCAGTAAACTCAAGACCATAAGGGGAATTCCAAGTTTATTCTCAAGGCTAAATTGTTGGATGGTTGACAAGACTATAGTGCAGACCAAAGTACCTCCATAAATCTTCATGTGCTTGACTCTGTTTATATTGCACTTGTGGGCACACATGGAAAATGAGTTGATGAATCCATAGTCCTCTCTGTGAGATGAGTAGTACAGTACCTGTCCTTTCTTTGTCTGCAGATGGGCCCTAAGTCTGGCACAACACCAAAGTCTGCCAGGCCTCCCCCTGCGATCTCTGATTCCTCCAAGTCAGAGACTGCAGAAAAGGGCAGTAGCCACCCAATTTCACATATATCCCAGGTGCGTCTTTATCATCTGTCTAATGTAAAATCATTTTTGAATACCCAGAGTTGAGTGTTGCTGCAACACAGTACAGTAGTGTTCTATAGCTCTAACATTTTAGTTTAAGCCTATGGCGCACTGGACCAACTAACATAACATTTTAAGCCAGGATTTTGTACCAACTAACATAACAGTTTAAGCCATTATTTTATATCTGCCATTTTTGCTAATTATTTAGTGTCTTTTGATAACTACCATTAGCTATCACTAGTGCCAGTAGTGGTAAATGATGATGACAATGCAGACTAACATCACTGTAGGAAACTAGAGTTAAGTAGTAACTTCAATTATGTTACTAACATGTCCATATTTCTTTGCAGGAGGGAAACTCCCATTCGTTGTTTTGGTTTTGGTAAATGTTTCACAGTTGAGAGGGCTACCTCAGACACTACAGAGGGGAGGTAGCTGAAAAGCTAGCATAAATGTTTTGAGAAGTACAATATTAATTATCTTGAAGTCAATCCTTCATTAATCTCAGTTTTTCTCCTCACTCTGCAGTTATTCTGGGAAAAGCGTCTTCAGGGAATGAATGCTTGTGACATTGCAGAAGAAGTCATCAAGAACATGGAGTTACCCAAGAGCTTGGAAGGTCAGTAGTCCTTGTTATACAACATGCAGTAACGCCTCCTATCAGGTCAAGACAAAACTGCACCCGAGCAAAGAATATACTTTACATGCATTGTACAGCATCTATCATGTAGGGTGTTCTGTTATATCATGGTGTCCAGTCATGCATGTGTGTTTGGAGTTCTCAAGAAATTACCTCTTTCCCTGTGCAGGTTTGGGACCAGGCTGGAATGATGAGACATTGTTACAGAGTATTGCCTCCAGTTTGCACCTTAGTAACAACCCTATCACAGGACAGACCACAGCACCATCCACTGTAGAAAAGAACCCAGCCGTCTGGCTTAACACCGGTACGTGCTGCAATCTGTACATGGAGACTGAGCTGTTTCCCCATTTACATCTGTTAGTAATAAGGAGATGTAGTCAAGTGGATCTCCTCACTTATTAGTCCTTGTAAGAAATAGTGTGTTTGTACTGGATGAGTGTTAGAAATAAATTGAAGTCCAACAAAAATTCCAACTTTTGCAGTTTCATTATCCATGATGCATCATGTAAACACCCATTTCTCCCTGTTCTTGCATTTTTCTCTGCAGACCAACCCTTAATGAAACCATTGGTGGTATCAGATGAGGACATTAGGAAACAGGAAGAGCGTGTTCGACAAGCCAGGAAACGGCTGGAGGAGGCCATCGCTGGGAAATATTTACACACCAACAAACAAGCCGAGTAGTCAACAAGTGAGTATTGGGGATAGCGACCATAAAATCTCATTCAGAACTTGTGACTGAAAGCGGCTAACATTCTTTTAGAAGTCCTTTTTATGAAATGACACCGACTTGTCCTGGTCTTACATGTATTCTATACATTCCTCCTGTGTGCACTGTTACTTTCAAAATGAGACTTTGCATTCAGAATAGATAGGTTTGGGGCATTACACATAGGGGTGTATCTGCTTGATCCCATGATTGGTAAAACTGAACATACATATTGTACTAGTAGCACAATTTCTTCTGGCCTTATATGTAACATAAACAGAAATAACATGTGATGATAAACTTTAACCTTCTCCCTGCTGAAGAAGCTGTTTGTCACCAAATTCATGTTGGTTTCAGGGATAGGCAGCACGGAGAAAGTTAGTATAAAAAATTAGTTGACAGTCTACTTCTTTACAGACATGTTAAATCTGCTGTAAGAAATTGGACATGCTAGACAAATACGAATTTGCACATACATATTACAAAATAATCGCTGGTAGTTTTTACAGTCTAAGTTGGATGTGTAGGGAATGAAAATAAGTCTGGATATATTTCCCATGTGTGGAAAGTCCTGATGCGAGTTACCTGATGGTGTTATCAGTGTTTGTTTAGGCACCAGATCAGTGATCAGGCCTTAGTCAACATGTTGTGTCTGGGCAGGGTGACATGTCCACAGTAGCAGTGGTACGTAGGTCAGTGGTGGAATTCTAGTCTGGTTGAACTGTAGCTTGGTTCCTGTGCCAGATTTGTCCCCAAATATTTGCCTTGATATGGTGGTGAATAGTCAAAAATCCACCCCTCTGGCACAACTCCCACAGCACCAGAGTTGGCATACTTCTGCATGGATTTATGTGACAGACTTTGTCTTACGTTATTGATCGTCAGAATCAGAGTCTTTTTCTGCTACAGATGAGGCCGTGCCTATGGTGCGTTGCTCCTAAAATCAATGCGTTTGAAAATGATAAAAATCAGGGATTTAATTTGATTGCAATAATTTATGTAGACAGGGTGTTAGCATCTGAAGTGTTGTAGGTATAATGGGACAATTATTTTCAAGTATAGAGCCTTGCTATTAGGGACCTAGTCTTTGTACCTTGTCATAACTAAATTTTCAGTTTATTTTTCTTCACAAGCCTTCTATTATCTAAGGGGCCTCTGGTATAAGGAAATCTCAGTCAGACTAAAGGATGAATTTTAGGTGCATTTATGACAAGTGTTCAATGAAGGCTGTCCACCAACAGTGATGAATGGCTCTACTGATACCAAAGTGCACCATGCAAAGGTTTGAATATGTGTAGTTCCAACTTCTAGGGAATACACTCAACCTGATGGTTATATCATAGTGAGCAGAGATGGATCCAAGTCAATACATGCACCTCGCCAGTGGAGGCTTGGATCAATTTACAGACTTGAGTTGTCAGGTGAATTGGAGAGGTGCCATAAGAAAATAGGGGAGTCTCGCTGCATTTGCTGACAATACAATACTTCTTAAGATTCAAAATCAATCTTTTCATGAAGTGGGCTGTTCTTACATATTGCTGAGTTTTGCTATTATCACAATGTTTTCTTGTAAATCTTTAAATTTAGTACATGTACATGTGTATGTGCATTTCCAAAATTTATCCCAATGTACTAATGTGAGGAGGGGTATTTCTACATGTTATTCTGTCGTGTATAAAATCATTAGTCCTGCATCATACAATACCACCGACCACAGCAAATTGTCTTACGGCTGGAGCCAGACAGAATGCACATACAGTGTACGCCACATCAAGGGCTGAATCATTCTTCCCTTCCACTGGATTCCTGCCAACTCATTATCATTCTTCACAGAATCACTAGCTGTCTGCTGATCAAAGTAAAACTCAGTTTGGACATGTGTGTTTTCGCATTAAAGATTAACTGCTAACCTTGAATGGTAAATGTGGATCAAAGGACAACTGTGACTTAGTCATGTACAAACAAATTTCTCACCTGATGTCATAAACCACCAACACACTCTGACAAAGTCTAAACCAACACTGCAACAGGCGTGTATGTCTGATTACACCTCAGCCAATAGCCTTCATCACACGGCCTGAAACTGTCAGCAAGCCACACCTTTTATTGAGTTAACTAATGATGTTATTGGGTCAAAGTACACTTGGCCTACTCCTACACACCACTTCCTTATGATGATTGATTGTAGATGTATAGCAGAGATAGCAGAATATATGAGGGGAAAACTTGAGAGGTGTCCAATTCAAGTTGGTCATATGTATTTGGAAAATATGGTAAAACAGTTATTTCAAGTGCAATATGCTAGTGTGGGATATTGATTTAATGTGAATGTCAACCACCTATGGTAATATAAACACATGCATTTGTAACTCAAGCAACATTCCAGATAAACAGCCAGATTTCAGATATAGAACTGTAAATTTTGTGTATCAGAATAAAATCTTGAAGTACAACTAGAGATTGCGCAACCAGGGTTTGGAAGTGTCTAGCAGAGTTTTCATAATACAAGCTTGAAGTACGGTACTTGCACAGATAATCAAGTTTTTTCTGTTGCAGAGCCGCATCAAAGATAAGCATCATGTTTAAGTGTGACTGACTCTTGTTGGGCATTTTGTTGCTAATCTGTAGTAACAAATAGGCTGGAGGCCTGTCTGAATCAAATTATGACCACTGATATGCAAACAAACACCTTATCAGCTGGCTATATGTGAACAAAGTTCTATTTGTTTGACACATAGATTGCCCGTGCTGGTGGGTTTGTAATGTACTACTGTATCAGTGTGTTGCATGTCTTTGCCTTACATAAGTTACAGTTTTCAGACGTGTACCTTCTTTATGCATTGCTAGAATATACGTTAACCTGCTCTCTGGCAGTCTCTACTAAGCTAAGCTATCCCTTGTGTACCAAATTTGTATCAGAATTATGTCAACTAACAGAGAGTAGTGTCAAGTAAAACTGTATTTTTGTAATTTTTGTTTGCATCTTTTAATTCTACAGTGCAGAACCAAATTTATACATTTTATTAACTGTACAAGGACGTCACAAGAGTGTAACACAAGAATATAATTTATGTTCCTTCTTCTTGCTCTACAGGAGATGCTGAGACCAACATCCACATTACAGACCAACATTTCCTTGATGGGTGTCACACAAAAGCCTCTCCACACCTTTGATGTTGCGTTTACACCACACCTTTGTGTTCTGGTATCCTCCAGAGGTTGATTAGACTATTGAACACAAAATGGAACAAATGCTTTGACTAGAGTAATGCTATTACATGTACATGTAGTCCTTCATGGTATAATGTAAAGAAATACAAAAATACTGTTCATGGAATAACAGGATTTTTGGGAAATGCATAAACATGTTCTGCACGGAATCATGCTGATACAGAAGGCTTGTGACAAAATATAGCATGTACTCCTTACTGATGTCTGTATTTCTCAATCATGTTTGATTTTAAGATTTTGATTTTAAGAATTTGAAAGTCACAAATCCTAGGGGGAAACTATGAGTACCAACCATTTTCTATGTTGTGGTGCCATGAATACAATAGAAAGTAAGAAATGAAATATCCTAACATTATTTGATGTCAGGAAGTGAGATGGCTTGGAAATATCTGTTTTCTGCAGGGAACAGGTTGCTAACTGAAGATGAAAAGGTCAAGTTTGTTTAAGATTTAACAAGCACGTTTGACTGCATTCAGTTATACTCAATGTTATCATGTAGTCCTATCCAGCAGCTTCAGTACGTGTCCATGTATTCTGACAAAAAGATGGGGTCCTTTTTCAGAAACCTTGTACATCAACTTTTTATGGTCACATTGTACTTGTATGAAGAAGGAATATTGTGAACCATGGGTGCCAGAAGTGCAGTGCAGGTGTTAAGTTTACCACCAGCTATGATGAATTCTAAGCAGAAAAGTTGATGCATGTCCAAATTCTCAGGAACAAACTTGTGTATGTGGTTATATCAATGATGAAGGCTTTTGTTGTGGGATGTTGACATGGGGTGGTTTCTATGAACAACTTTAGCTTTCTCACCAGACTACAACATACAAGGGTGTACCAGTTTTTGTATGGAGTCTGCAGGTCATGTTTGTGTGCACTTGAAAGAGTCAGGCCTTCATATTTGTATTATGTCATAATTATGTGACTGATAACAGGTACAAAATCAAATTTGATGGACAGCTACCAGCAAAGCAGACAAGACTTGCTTTATAGTCATGCAAGTGCAAATACCCTGAATTGCCCAGGTCATCATGTTTTGTCAACTTCATCATAATATCACAGCATCCTTTCTAAAAATACTGTTTGGCAGATGGCACCTCTGTACAGTTATTTCTAACTCATGTCTCAGTTTAGTCGTACATAGGATATCCCTAGATGCATACCGTAGCACTGCCACTGACAGGTGTTAGATATTGCTGCATATATCAGCTGTAGATGTTGAGACATTGGGAGCCTTGGGTATATTACCTGCAGGCTTGATGTAAAGGCTGCTTGCTGAGGAAAGGGACAGGAAGAGAAGACATTACTTGTATATCAAACTTTCTATTTTTCCAGTGTTTAAACCTTGTAGTTGTAACAATAGATACCTGTTCTTTAATGTTGTATAGTTGATGTTCTTGTCTGAGTTTTTGAGTGCTTGTTTAATCTCCAAGTAGATCTTTCCGTGGAAAAATCATTGGCCATGGAGGTATTTGTGTCTACTGTCGCCAGTAGGCCTTCTCTTGGCTGGCAGTTACGATTTTGCCACAGGAAGATCTGCTTGGAGACTGTTGGGTGGATGTGAGAAGGCTTTGCTTCAAGTGCCTTTAGTAATGAACATGAAGAATTCTGTATGATATTGTATTGTGGTTATTTCTGTATTGAGAAATATACCTTGATCCACAAAAGATGAAGACTAGTTATCTGACTAGTTGAAGACATTTCTTCATTTGGTAGATACTAATTATCAAGAGTTTTTTTGTGTGTCTTGCTTCCAAAATGTTTAGATAAACACAACTTTTCATTTTCAATAATTCAGGTCCTCAAAAGTTAGAGAGATACCGGTAGTCTAAACTTGGCATTGGCATACAGACTACTTTGAAGAAAAGAAAAAAGTAGCCCAAGAATAATTAAATAATTGCATAAAACGTTAATCAAATGTGTTTGCTGTTGCCTAGGGTGTAAAAATGTAGTACATATGTAAGAATCATTCTAACACCTGGTGTAACAACCAAGTGTCCCAGGTTGGGTAATCGTAATTGATCAACCCCTTCCTATTTTTATCTGTATATCTCTATCTACTTAACCCTGAGGGAGATCTGATTTACAAATGTATGTGATATCAAAATGAAGAGATTTAACAAGCTGAAATCAATACACACATACTTTCCATATCCACAAAGTCTCCCTGGTGTTGCCTAAGGGATGTCTGGTATAAATTTCACTTGCACATTAGACACGGCACACAAAAATAAACCACCACAGTGTTATGATTCATAGAATAAGGTAGTTGTTTCACAAACTATCTGACAAAACGTACTGTTTTGTAGCTCTTGTTTCTATGTAGATGTTTTGGAAAAAGGTGTTCCAGCATGTGACGCCATTTATGGTAGTATGGAAAATACTAATATCCACCAAGCAGAAAACTTCAAAGTTGATGGTTCATATGATGAATTTCTTAGTCATTTGAAGACAAATTTAGACAATATTGCATTCCCAGTACCAATATATGTACCAAAGTAACCAACAAAATATTGCAAAGAGAAACAGCAAATGATATTGATTATCCGTATCTTACCTCCTTGCTATGGCCTTGTCCATGCACCAAATTCTGAAAGTACACTGCAGGGTGGTACCCTTGCAGGGAGGAGGTTGATGCTGCACTAACTATGCATTACCAAGAGGAGTAAGAAGTCCATGGGGACTGGCTGAAAGTTTTTTTAATGTTTGCAACAGGCTCTTCACTCTTAATAACCCAAAGCTGGTGGGGGTCTTTTTTATTGGTCAACAATACTTTCTTGGCAGAACAGGTTGTTATTGGTCAAACAAGGCCTCCACATAATTCCCTCATGATCTACCCAACTGTCTGCGTACATGGTCTGATGTAGAGCAGCACTGGTATTTTACAAGCCTTTGGATAATGACCTTGGTTTCTCTAAATCTTGCTGCTTTTCAGTCAAGTAATGGCAGTTGGGACTTGGTGGTTGTTGGGGGCCCTGTTCTGGGGACCAGTACAGTGTAGAGAAACAGAGAAAGCCAATATATGTTTGTATTGGCAAATATGCATACCTTTTGTATGTATAGAATATCCTTCTTGGTTATGGGATGAATGTTAAAGGATTGTTATAGAAAGAAAGAAGTGACGAAACAAAATAGAGTGCACCTTTAGTTAGCATGTGAAATATATACAGTATATAATTGTTCGCTGGAAACAAGCTGTAATGTAAATCATAGTTACTTATTCATAATGACCATCTGCCTTGAATTTTTTTAAAATACATAGTGGCTTGTTTATGCAGTAACACTGTCCCTGCAGGGCTTGTACTGTGTGTATAAAGTGGTTAACAATCATATGCAATCTGTCAATGAAGTAGGACAGTTTTAATGGGCCATATTCTTTATAAAAGAATGCATTGTATTGTCTTAACTGACCTACTTGATGTAATCTCGTACTCAGTAATACAGTAATGTGTTGCTGAAACAATGGATCTCAAACAAGCTGATGAGTTCCAAATATCTCTCTCTGACTATCTGCCGTGCTGGCAAACAGCTAGCAGGCATGTCTTGTTGGACAATAGCCCCAGCCGTCGGCCATGACATCATCAACCGTCCCCACCTGCTGGTGGCTGAGTGTGCTTTGTTCTGTCCCATCCACTGCCATCTGTCACTGCACCAGGCAGCCTCCCAGGGGCTACCAGAGGGGGTGAAGGGAGAACACAACACTATATTGTATAGGTTCAGAAGGGCCACGCCAAGTTACATGTATAACCTCGGTTCTCGGACATGTGTAAGGAAAAGCAAAGGGGCAAGATGAAAACGGCTTGCAGGAAGGAAAACTGAATCTGAGTACTGTGTATTCTGTTCCTGCCTTATTAGGTACAGGGTTTCCCCGCAATACTAAGTTGTTGTTCATGTTGATATTCCAATTTCACATCTTTTTAAATCAGAGAAATAACAATTACATTGGACTGGCCTCGAGTGTCCATATCATTATACCCTGAAAAAAGCCTTATACCAGCAGTTGAAGGTACGTATCTGGAATTATGCATGAGATACTTGACATGCTGGAATGAGCCCATCCATATCTTCAATATACTATACCAGTCATCTGTACTACCCAACCTAACCAGTCAGGAAACATATAAAGCTGCAGTCATCCCAAGCTGACATCCCGCCACTCAAACTTGATTGACATCCATTTTAGACACTAAATCAGATGTAGAGGTTTGAAAGGAAAACAAATTCAACTTGTTTACCGGTAACATACATTCTATGATGTGCACACATTTATAACAATTCCTTTTTTGGTAGCTTTACTAGACTGGCTCACATGTGCCAATATGTGTTATGTATGTTATACCTCATAGCGATATCTCCATATGCAGCAGCTTGTTGCCAGGGACATAATATCCTTTATGTGCATTATATACAAAAGAGCAGCTTAATGTATGATATTATAAATATACATGTAAATGTAGTATTAAAAAACTTTGAGGAATGCTGAATCAAGAATTTCAAAAAATGAAACTCTTTGGTTTCATGATATATGCAGCCATTATGGTTATAGGTTAAGTTTAAATTCGTCAGGAAGGAGAAAAAAAAATTCTAACAAAACATGTTTTTCCACCCTACATGTAAAAGTAAACTGCAAAACAGCAATTAAGCTTGAAATAGAGGGCTTCATTAGTTAATTAGTTCTTTCAAATTGCCAGTCCCAAATTTGAAATGTCTATTTTTAAGTGTTATTCATGTACTAGTAATTATTGCTCTTCGTAGGATTCCAAGACTGCATCTGTAAAGGGGTCTTTTGACAAAGCGTTCCACAAAGCCTATTTTTAGCTTGTAGCTCATTACCTTTCTGAATGCCAGGCTGATTGAAAGTGGCAATTGAACTATGTGACGTCGACTGCTTCACCTTCTGATAGTGGTGATAGCAATGGAATCCACTAGATAGCAAGCATAAAAGCAATGCTTCATTTACTACATGCATGTACATTTTGTACACTGAAACATTGCAATGAAAATCAAAATAGAGTCCAAATTGCCTTAGTGGCTTGAAGTTATGTGGCTGCCCTGCATTCATTATAAAAGGGTGCATCTTATCACTTTTGATTAAGACTTCTGCCTTTGTAGATTGAAAGTGACAAGCTGTTTACTATCAAGTATCAAGTTAAAGAATGTGTTTTGAGCTGTTTCTTTTTTTTTTTCAGAAACCAGAAGAAAAAAATCATACCATGTGTCAATCCAGCTGTTCCAGAGTACTAGTACATATTCCAAATACAAAACTATAAGCTGCAACTAACTTTTCCATGTTACCAAATGGCCTTGTGGACTGCTTGGCCATAGTCACAGGTCCCTCTAAAGGCAGCATGAACATTGATACCCTTATCTCAACCTGAAGTCGGATTCCTCTTGTACCATGGGCATACATTTGTACATGAGGGCCTGCATGACTTTTCTTGCGAGGCATAGTGAGTTATTTTAATTCACAGTTAATTGTAGCCAGCCAAAGGCACCCAATAACAATTCAGGACAACTGGATTTTCAAAGTCATTTTTTGGGCATTTTCTTAATGCTGTAACTTGAAACAACATACCAGTACATTGTGTACTGATATCTGTGAGGCAAAAATGTGATGTTGCTGAAGGAGAACAGCTGATTGTTTTGTACTGTAGGCTGGTTCTGGTTATTTATTGGTGGTACCAAAATAATGGGACTCCTCACATAGCTTGTTTCTGTGCTGTTTCATATGTTTCAAGTATGAAATGGTGATAAAATGGCAGGAAATGTCAATATCAGACAAATTTCCCTGTCAAGAATATGTTCTGTTTTGTCACACTGAAAATTACACTGGATGCCTAATGTTTGGTACATTTTTCTCAGCTTTCTCCTACAAATCTGAACATTGATACCCAAATTATGCACATATTGCATATATGAATATGGATCAATTTCATGTTAATCATTAATTGCTGGCCCTCCTGAATTTACCATAAAACATAGCAGGGCCTCCCCCAGTCCGATATATAATGTTGCAAGGACCCCCATGAAGACCCTCATACATGTGATGTACTCTAGCTGAACATATAAAAGCCAAATGACAAACAGCAGCACGTTGATCAAAATGGATGCCAAAAACAATCATGTGCAGAAAATAATGCTTTCTTCTGTTGTTGGGACTAACAAAATATAGTGAGAGCAGCAATGCTGGCTTTGTGGTCAGTTCTATCTATATGATCAGGCACTTGGGGTATTGAATGTGACAGCCCATCCAGCCACCACCCTTTTGAGGCCCTAATTTGCATGGAACCTTCCCTGGCTTTGTCTGGTTCTCCAGCTTTCTGTACTGCTGTAGGGAATGGACTCACTGGGCATATCTTCTGCATGAAACCCTAACTGTTGGC